GAAATAATTTTCAAATAACAAACATCTTTAAAATCAAGCTTTTACAATGAGACTAACATTTACATAGAACTAGCATTCTAGTTTTGAAAATATATGTTCCTGTGAATGTATATGTTATACTTTCACCGATGAATGTTAACAATCACCTAGTCGCTTTGGTGAATGTCCGAAATATTTGCTTTATCTGATTTGATATTAATTTATTCGTTGATATTATAACATTTATTCGATATTTTAATATCTGCTAAGTATAGATTAAGAGAAACACCAGTTCTCCGAGTACCGGTTAAATGTATACTGGGCAGTGGCACTCAACCTTAAAAAAACATTGTAGGGCATACCGGGCAAATGTATACAAGACGACTATGTGATTGTCAACATTCACAGGTGGAAGTCAACAACCACCCATTTCTGTCATTTACAGTAACGTATTTAAAATCGTTTTTGAAATCAAGTTTTAACAATGCAACTAACATATATGTAAAACTAGCATTCTAATATTGAAAATATATATTAGAAATAATAAATAGTTATCAGTTAATAAGCAAATAACGTTAAAAATATCTGAAACCTGCCTCATTAAAAATTAGACTTCGAAAAATATTGGACAGAAGTTTACTGGAATATAACAATGTGTAGCTGCTGCACACTGTAGCAATATGTGCTGTAGCTAAAATTTTTACCTGCTACAGCCAAAACTTTCACATGTAGCAGAGAACCATCAATTTTACGTCAAAAATACGTATATTTCAATTTTAAATTTTCCTAAGCATTCGTCAAATTTATGTAAAAACTGAAACTTCGTATTATAGCAAAAAAATGGATAAACGTAAAATTCACGTAATATTATACGTAAACAAAAATTTTGCGGACATTTTATCAACCCCTTTATGCTAGATAAGAATGAGTACGTTATTTTTGCATATTATTTTAATGCTAAATTTTCTTCGTTAGTAATACGTCAAATGCACGTAGGCATTTTTACTAAATCTAAATAGTAAATTCACTTCGTCAATATTACGTAAAATATTCAAAAATATTCTGACCGAAATAAAATGGGAAATTTCATTTCGTCAATATTACGCACAATATACGGAAGCTTGTTACCAAAATTTAAACTGTGAAATATTCGTCAACATTTATACGTAAAATGTACAAAAACTTTCGTACCGAAATTAATCTCATCGAAGGGTAGTTGGTAAAATACAATGTGCTAACATTGCGTAAAATGTGCCGAAGCTTTTTTACTAGGTATATCAATGGTAATATCATTCCCTCAATATTACATAAAATTTGTGTGTAAAGAGTATTGATTTTACCAATTTACCAAAAATGTATGTTTAATTTACTTATCATGCTACATGGGAGTTAGCTCATAACTATTCGAAACAGAATTTTAAAAAGAAATTTGCATTAATTTCAATAGTTTTAAAAAAATATTTAACTTATTATAATATANCTTATATTAATATATATATATTATAATATTATATATATTAATTCCCTAGTAGTTGTAAAATAAAGACAAATACTTAATTCATTTTTCACCATCACCCTAAAATATAATAAGATGTTTATCAGGTCTTCTTTATGCATCTTCAAGCTATTTAAATGTGATAGTATTTAAAATAAGAGTGAATAAAATTTATTTAAACTGGAATGAAGCATCAATGGAAAACTTATGCTACCAAATTAAATATTAAAATAAAATCTACCGCAAAATCCGAAAGAGTTGTCAGGTATGAAGACTATTATATAAAGAGCTTAGTGGATGAACTAGGTAAGTGACATTTTCTGAGTGGCTAAAATTAGGGTAAGAAGGAAATAAGGGGTATCCGAACTATTTTCTTATAGATTTATAAGACGGGGGGCTTATAATTCTTTGCCTTGTTTTCTATACCATCACTTAATTATAAATAAAAGTCATCCAAGCGTACTCAAAACTAACTGCGCACTCCGTTTATCCGATCTTTCTCATGAAATGTGTATAAAATCCCTTTCCGAAAAAATTTAGAATGCATTTCGATTTGTTCATAAAATAGAATTTAAAAGTGTTTAATGGATACAATCATCACAAAACAAGTTCATGTCCAAAGTTTTCTCACGAGTGGCCTTTATGCAATTAACACCCGCATATGGATTTCTTGAAAAGAGATTTCTATTATTAGAGAACGCAAATGTGATATCTCTAAAAAAAGTTGTTCAACATCCTGTAACAATACAACTACTTGACCATGAAATAGAATTAATTCCCATACAAATATACAATTTATTAGCACCTTCAAGGTTCTGATGAAAACAAATTAACAACAAACTTGTGATTTGCTTTACCTATTCATGTTGAAAAAAATTTCAAGGACTACTTTATATAACTTAGTGTTACTGGCGATCAAATGAATGCATTTTTATTATTCGGTTAAGGGATTTTTTTGCTCTGTGAGTTATTTGCTTTTAATAAAATACACTACATTTATACAATACAAACCAAATAATCATTCAACAATTGTAATACACACGCATGATAGTGCGTAACATACGTTGGAGTCAGAAGGTATGAAACAGCGGTTGCAGAATGAACAACAAAAAATCAGTAAATAGGGACCCCTCTTACAGATATACAGGTCTTGCAGCCTGATTTCATACTTGAAATAAGGCAGTTTATCTCGTGGTAATTGGCCTGAATTGTCCTGTGGTAATTTAATACTTTCCGACTCCAAAGAGTATTACGCGTGATCATGAATGTGTATTCTAATTGTTGAATGATTATTTGCTTTGTATCGTATCAATGTATGTACAGATAAAATTTCCTTAAAATCGGTCCTGTAGTTCTCGAGATAATCGGCCAAGTCTGCAAATTCTCTTCATTTTTTATACCAGTGTAGAATTAATAAAAGATTCGTATAGTTTTTACTTTTCTTTGTTAACCTGACCAATAATCGCACAATGTAATCTTTAATTGCACACAAAATTAATTTCACCTTAATTTTTTCATCTTAATATCTTCCAATATTGTAGGTAGATGGAACTTTGGATTAGTATTTATGTATGAATGAATGGGGTACCTCTAAGTGACGTAGAGTGGGTACCTCGAGCCTAATTGGTTGTTAAAACGTGGCTTTGTTTACGTTAGCAATCGTTCTTTCCAATCTGTTTCGAGTTAACTTACCCCGTCAAGTATCAAATGCTTTTTAGTGATACATTCTATAATCCTTTACAAAGATTCTTGCACAATGATTTCAATTCTTTCAACACATATTTCTTACTTAACACAAAGACAGGCACGAAGCTATGTAGACAATTAACAATTATACTAATTATGCATCGAAGTTGCCAGGTACACGAAATGAAAATATATCACTGTTACAATAAAATACTTTAGCAAATAATAAATTTAAAAAAGAACTATTATTCAACAAAGTCAATGTGCAATACAACGCTGCATTTTTAATTATATATTAAGTTCGCATTAATTCATATCGTTCGTATAATTAAGTTCGCATTAATTAGCATTCTAACCTAAGTAGAACATAAACAAACTAATTATGCATCGAAGTTGCCAGGTACACAAAACAAAATTATATCACGTATTACAATAAAATACATAAACCAATAATAAATTTAAAAAAGAATTATTTTCAACAAATTCAATGTGCGATACGGCCCTGTATTTCATTGACTTCACAGTAATTAATATTCTAACTTGTGTGGAAAAATCTCAACTTTGACACGCCATTTTGTTTATCGACGATCAGCTGGCGCTGACGTCATAGGTCACATGTGTGGGTTTGTTTAACCTTCTTCTTCTCGAAGTGCAAGCACACAGTCGACTAACTATTAATGAAGTGAAGTTTTCAGATTTGAAGTTGTAGGGTAGACATAAGTATGATTTGTTTTATTTTATTTTAATTTTTAAAGTTTTCAACTCAGTGAGTGGCAATGCAATAAAAGAATTAAGATTATTAAAAAAAACTTATTTTGTTGTGATAAAATTTGAATTCCATTTATTGATAATAAGCAAGCTTATTCTATTAAATTGTCATTTGCTATCATAAGAAGTTATCTATCTATTACTCTGCATACGCCTTCACAAAAGAGCCCGACAATCTGGTGACCCGGACGTGATTTGAACACGCAACCTTCTGATCTGGAGCCCGACAAAGTGATAAATAATCGGAAAAACACGATTATGAAACTAGGTGATAGTTTTATAAATATCAGGGTTGCGTAGGTGACTCCATATGGAAAAAGTGGGGATTAATATTTTATTAAAAGATACATTTTTCAGCATTTTTTTTCCTCAGTTTACTATTAAAAGAGAATGCAAACAACGTTTTTTTTTCTATAAATATGAATAATTGGAAATGTAAATCATAGTTACTATAAAATAATAAAAGGGATAATAAATGAACAAAAAAGAATTGAGTTTCTACCACTTTTTACATTTATAGTAGCTTGTGGTATCCCTGACATATGTGTGAAAGTAAGATACGTTTGCTTTAAATCCAAACCCTGCATTCATATTACAGCGGAAGACATTTTTCGTCGTAAATTCTTCTTTATTACTAATTTTAAATTTAAAAGAATAAAAAAGTAAGTTTAGGCAATTCTAGAGTTTGTCATGAAGTTTCAATTCCTGGAAAAAAATACTTCAAAATATTAAAATGCAAACAAATTATTAAAAGAAAACTTCTCCGTTGCGTAATCCTAAGTTATAGTCTCATAATTTATTTTCATTTGTATATTTTAAAATTTTCCTTTCAGTATTTGAAACTTCATAGATTACTCTAGATTTGCCTGAACTCACTTTTTCTGCATTTTAAATTTCAAATTAGTTATGAAGGAGAAAGAGAATTTGCAAGAAAAAAGTTCTTCAGCTGTATGGCGTCCTCTAAAAACATAAAAATTTTAACTTCCAAATTATGTAGCTATTCCAATTTATTCATTTTGTATACTGAACCTTTTAAAAAACTTAACAAGGTTATTTTTCTTTTGTATGACAGGAATCCAATTCGTATGCGAGTGTCATCAATAAAACATCCTCCCCAAGTATCGGCAAAAGGCGATATGTTATGGGAGCTCGCGTGCCCCAGCGAGCTCCAAGAACTCGCAAAAGGTTCACCAATCACAAAGAAGCTCGAGCTCTGATTGGGAAATGTGGTACACCAGGAAGACCACTTCCGGAAGATGAAGCTGTTTGGCGTGAAACTGTTCTACAAAGAAGAGAATTGGCAGAGGAAAGCGGAAGGGTGAACTCTAACTATGAAAACGGTGAGTATAACATTTCAAGACAGTTATAAACTAGTTATAACTATCCGGCTGTAACTAGTTATAACTATCCGGCTGTAACTAGTTATAACTAGCCCAGACAGTTATAACTAAGAAGTTCACTAAATGTATAAACTTAAATATCGTAGCAATTTTGTGATTTAGATTAGGAATTGTTCATCGTCTTACCCAAGTCAAAATTTTTGATGGTTTTCCATTGATGGGCCAACATAATCTTGATGATAACCATCAATAATTCCATCATGAACCATTTTATTTTTGACAGTAACCAACGTAAGTAACCATCACCCCAAAGTAGGTATTCGGGCTGATTTACATAAGAATAGCAACTTGTTTTGATGGTTTGTTCATGTTGAACTATCAGAAATTTCCATCATAGTTTCTTAGAAATCAAATGTTGGAACGATCATGAACCATCATCACCCCACTGTAGGAATTCGGACTGTTTTCTGAGGGTTCAATGTAAAATAAATAAAATTATTTTGATGGTATATTCCTGCTGAACCAACAATAATTATTATTAAACCATCATAGAAATGCATTGTACCGTTATAGATCATTATGAATTTCCCTTATAGTTATACCAGAAATCAAATGTTGGAACGATCATGAGCAACCATCATCTCAATGTAGGAATTCGGACTGATTTATGATGGTCCAACATTTTTTTGATGGTATATTCCTGAGAACTAGCAAAAAATCCCATTAAACCATCATCGTAATGTATAGTTGGAACCATCATGTACATCAAAGATCATCATGTATTGTTGGTCCATGAGAATCAAACTTCTCTTGATGATGAACCATCATAGTATTAAAGTAGAATTTTCCATCATGGAATGATGAAAGTTTGTTGGCAAATGCAAAACCATGAACGCATAGTAGAAAATGTTAGATGATGATGACCATCAAATAATGCTGGACCATCAAGAATCGCACTAAAACCAACATAAACCGCCAAAATGTTTCGATAGGACCAGCAAGAATTTTGACTTGGAGTTGCTGTTTTATATGTACGTAATAGAAGAACTAGAGCAGTTTCCATGCAAATAAAAAGCTCCGATCGGCGAGGGCTGGATATTGTTTTAAAATATATGAAACATGCAAAACGCGAATGGATGGTGTTTTTAATATAAATTTAAACAGCAATCTCGAGCTCTTGTCCTGCTCTACTTTCGGTTATTCTACGAGGCTATATTTTCAAACAGATAATTTTGTTTTCAGTAAAAGAAATAAATTACATAATTTCTGAGCTCATATCTGCTGTATTTTATAAGATATCTATTTATAAGATAAGTATTTTATAACTGTGCTGTATTTTATAAGATATTAATGATAATTAAGTATTTCTGCTGAGTTTGAAGTGAAAATTTGCTTTAATTATTTATTGATGTATTTTTAAAAAAAGGTAACATGATTGCTGTTGTTGTTGACATATGCCTGTTTTTGACAGAGGGGGTGCGATTGTTCTTGTTTTTGCAGTGGAGTCATCTATGGCCAAAAATTCGACTTCTACCACACCATACGTCGCACCCGTTTATATGGCGGACCCATTCATTCATCCACAGATCGTAATTTTGACCTGAATCAGAGAACGATCGATCTCCAATCCAGTACCCTCAGAGGTATTGATTTGTTATGGGAACATGGAGGAATTTTTGCGACTCGACAAATTTAACGTGCATCGGTCATTTTACTACACGGGGAGTTTTCGGCCGGTGGGGTTCGAACCCACGAACTCTCGGACATGGGCTCAGCTCCCTACCGACCAGGCTATCCCGGCCCAACATGATTGCTAGATTTAGAAAGTACTCGCTTTTTTGGCAGTCTCGATTTGGCCTCTTTTTACTTGTTTATTATGATTTGATTTTGTTTCAAGTAGTGCACCGTCACATCCTGGTGTTAGCATATTGTTCGAGCAGCGAGATTAATTCATTTAACAAATTATCATTTAGGTTTAAATTTCGAAGTTGGCATATTGTTGACAAGGTAAGAAGTGTTTTAAAACCATTCTTTTCTTCAAATGACAATTCTTACGTTTTGAAATGACGATTCTTAGAAAGATTCTTCTTCTAAACAAAAATAATAAATCAGGTAACCAATACACATATACAAGAAATACTACTCAGGAAGAAAACATTTTACAGTCAAGCCCCGCTATAGTGAACACGGTTTATAGTGAACTCCCGGATATAGTGAACAAAATGTCTGGTCCCATGCCTTGCTATGCACGTATAATGTTATTTTTTGTGGATATAGTGAACCAAAAAAGTGAGGAAGTTGGATATAAGGAACTTTTTTCTGTGTTCGCAAACAAGTGTCTCAAACTTAACTATGGCGAGCAGTNGAAGCATTACTGAAGTGGTTCACCATTCGAAGGAGCCGCAATCTTCCAGTATCTGGACAAATGTCGATGAATTTGCTAAGCGATTTTATGAGATTACTTTTATGTGCTCGAATGGCTAGTTAGACAGGTTTAAAAAGCGGAATAACAGAAATTCAGGAAAAATTATCTGAGAGTCGGGAAGTGTTTCCATATCTGTTGTTGAAGATTGCTCATCAGCTAAAGATTACAAAAAATTTTTTTTGTACGCAAGACGAAGAGTAATGAAAAATAACACATTTTTTGCGACTACATAATATTTTTCAGCCATTTATTTGTATAATGTGTAATAAAAGGGAGGAGTTTGGTTAAATTGCCTGAGTAACGGATATAGTGAACTCCCGGTTATAGTGAACCAAAATTTCGGTCCCTTAAAGGCTCACTATAGCGGGGTTTGACTGTATTTCATATATTTGAAGTTTAAATGGTATAATTATTTTATTATATTAAAAAAACACATTAAGAAAGTATGTTTTTCTTCCTCTAAAAATGTTTTCCCCTTGCCTTCTACGTGTAACTTTGGGTTAATAGAAATGATTTTTTTTTAATTCAACGTGTAACTCTGATTTATCAAAACAAACTTTAATTTATTTTCACAGAAAATCCTGATTAATCAAAATAATTTTCCTTGAAATTCTTCAAGTAACCTCTCTCTCTCTCTTGTGGTTAATTAAAACAATATTGTTATTTCAACTGCAAAAATACCCCCAGAATAACGAAACAACTTTCATTATACTTCGGCAGCTAACTCCAATTAATCTAAACAATTTCTGTGGTTATTCCACAAGTGACTCTGATTTTTCAAATCAGTTGTCATTGTACTGACACATTAACCCTGATTTGTTAAATTATATATTATTTCATTTCCACTGATAGCCCTGATTTATCAAAGTAACTTTTCTGTAATTCCTCAAATAAACCTGATAAATAAAAAAAAAGTGTTGTAATTATGTTCCTGTGAATGACCGAAATTGGTTGTTGATTTCCACCGGTGAATGTTGACAACCGCATAGTCGCTTNAAATGTACTTTTAAATCGTTACTTTTTTTGCTTAGTACTTGTACTTTTACTTGTACTTATTACTCGTTACTTTTTAAAATAAGAACTTTTTACTTTTTACTCGTTACTTTTTTAAAAAATAATTGTACTTTTACTCGTTACTTTTTAAAAGTAACGTTGCCATATATGCTGTCCAGTAAGCCCTACATAAATGTTTTTTTAAGGTTCAGTGCCACTGCCCGGTATGTATTTAACCATTACTACTCCGAACACTGATGTTTCTCCTAATCTATCCTCGACAGATATTAAAATATCGAATAAATATAATAATATCAACGGATTAAATACAGTCAAGCGCCGCTATAGTGATTCTTCAAGGGACCGAAATTTCGGTTCACTATAACCGGGAGTTCCATATATCCATACTGCAAACAATTTTAACTCAGTTTTCCGAACTGCTTCCTTTTATTACGCATTATTCATATAAATAACCCATAAAAGGAAATACAAAAATAATTAAAAAACAATATTTAGTAGCAAAAAATGTGTTAACTTTTATTTTTTATTACTCTTCGTCCTGCGTACAAAAAATTCAGGCATGGTTTTTATTTAGGGATGGGAAACAGAGATAGAAGAAACAAACAAGAAAAAATACTTAAGTCTACATTCCACTCAAGAGATGGTTTTAAAAATCGGTATATATATTTTATGTAGAAATTACTAAATTACAAAAAAAAAAAAAAAAATTAAAAACATTATTTGAAAACAGAAAAAAATTCATAATATCCAATTTCCTCTCTTCTTTAGGTTTACTAGATCCACAAAAAATAATATTATATGTGTATAGCAATGCACGGGAGCGAACATTTCGTTCACTATATCCGGGAGTTTACTATAAGCCATGCTCACTATAGCGAGGTTTGACTGTAATATCAAATCGAAAATAACAAATATTTCGGGCATTCACCAGAGCGACTAGGTGATTGCTGACATTCACCGGTAAAAGTCGACATTCTCTCGATTTCGGTCATTCACCGTAACAATTACGCGAGTACCTCTGAATAACGGAAAATAACTTTTGTTTTAACACCTACATTAATCCCCTGATTAATCAAAACAATTCTTCCACAGGAAACCTTCTAAACAATTCTCCATCACCCGAAACTCGTTATAAAAGCATATCCACTATGACAGCCGAACCAACAGAAGAGTTGGCAGAAACCATTGACCTGAGCAGCGAGGAGACGACCTCTTCGTCCGTGGGTTGGAGACCCGTCTTACCTGTGGAGGACTCACCACTCATCAAGTACACGTATTTCGGTTATGAGACCTACGTCAAACCGACATCTGGATCTGATGAGACGAACAAATGCGTTATTCTTAAACCATCGCATGTAGAGAGTCGGAACAGTGTTAGACCTGCTGTTCTGATTGGATGCGAGTCCAATAAAAGAATGGTAGAACAGCGGAGGGCAAAGTCGAGGAAAAGTATTGAAGAAAGTTCCAAAGCAGGTATGGTTTTTGCTGCTGTATTCTGTACTGTTTTGTATGGTTTTATGGTTCTGTTCTGTATTCTGTATGGTTTTACGGCTCTACGCGATTCGAACTTGGTTCGAATTTATAATTTTTTTTTTTTTTCAACTTTTTGAACCTCGATCACGATATGAACTAGTGATCTGAAGTAGCGCGTTACAAGGAGCGAAACTACTGAAGTAGCTACTTTTTTCCGTAGTTTGTAGCGTAGTGGCTACTTTTTAAAAGAAGTACTAAAGTGAGTGGAGCGATACAAAGAAAAAAAAAACAGTTGTTTGTAGCGATTCTTGGCAACTATTTTTAACGTTAGTTAAATAAAACTCAAAAAACTTTTCGAATCTGATTGGTGCAATTCGTGAATTGATTGGCCTTCGTGGGCCTGTCTACGTATGCAATGAGAATGCCTCTGTGGTCGGGATCTACGTCTAAATCTACGTGTTAATGAGATCTACGTTTGATGCTCGGAAAAGTCGGAGCGAAGTCGAGCGAATTGTTCCTGGAAAATCGAATTTTAAATATTTGACTTTTTTTGATTCCGAATTCGATTTCACGGGAACTATAAAGTACGTTTTTTGTCTGATTTCGTAACTTAATTTATCGCCTGCATTAATTAATTAGCCTATTTGAGGTCACCCCCCTCAAATCATTACGATTTAGAAATAGAACGTGAAGATCTGATCATAAGATCAAAAGTTATTCAGGGTGATCCGTTTTTTGTTTTTCGCACTGCACTTTTTTCTTGAAGGAGTTAAAAAAAAGCATTGATCATTTAAATCACAAATATTTGATAATTTCCTAGCATTTCTTAAATTAAATATTCAGTCACGAGAAAAACCATAGAATTTGAAGGTTAAAAGAACAAATTCGTAAAAAGTGCTATAGAATAAAAAACTATTTCATGCAAACATGAATTAAAACTTCTTAATAACTCCTCATATTTAACTAAGCCAATTTCGTTATTCAAACTCATTTTGAATATTGGTGAAAATTAAGTTCTCCAGTTAAGTTTGTCTTCTAAAAGTAGTGACTACATTTCGAAAGTGGTTAGTAGTCTTTACTTTTAAAAAAAAAGCAGTTGCAGTTAACTACATTTGTAATAAAGTAGTTGAAGTTATAGTTAACTACAAAGAAAATGTAGTTTTTCCGATCACTGGTTTAGATTCATATTTCCTTTTCTTAACTTTTTAAACCTCGATCACAATATGAACGGCAGTCTTGTTATCTCGTAAATTTCGAACCACAGACTTTCGTGGTTCAACACACCTGTTCTTTGTTTGAATATCAGAATTAATGCTTGCAAATGATTTAATATTTTTGAAAAGTTATAATTTGAAGAAAAATGGGAAATATTTTTCATCGAAATAGTTAATTTATGAATAATATTTCCTTTTCTTTTTTTTAATATTAAATATTATTATAAATCACATTATTATTATTCAAACATTAGTAAATAAATATTCACCTAAAATTAAGTTAAAAAAATTCTATTTAAAATTAAATCATATTTTGATGTCCCATTTTTCTTTTTCTTAACTGTATACAATGCTGTTTTTTTCCATCCGGTTTAGAATTATTCTTGCGAATAAATCCACTTTTTTTATTTGCATTTATGATACTGATTTTATTGTGTAAAATTTGTTTAAATTTTTGTTTGATATTTAAACTGATATTTTTACTATGTAATAACCCAAAATCTTCTAATGTTTAATAAACGACTTTTTTAATCAATGTTAATAATTTCTCGAAAAATTATCAAAATTAAAATGTTATAACTAATTAAAATTCAACTTTTTATTAATTATAAATTTTGAACTATTTTGTATAATATATATTTACCTTACGCAAATCCAGTTTCGGGAAAATCCAAAGAAACAAACAAATCAAACGCGGTTCTGTCGGAACCTTAAAAAATATATATAACTACCCTCCTATTTACGCTTTGGTTTTATGTTTTGTAATCTATCGAATTAGCTAAGAAAATATTTTTAAATCATTTTTGCCGGGTGTCACGGACGTCTGATTTTGCTCCTTGCTTTGTATGTTACTTTTTGTGTTTTGTTTTGTATTTTTATTAAATTGTTATCTTATTTTGTATTTTCTTGTATATTTGTGTTTTCTGCTTGATATATTTCATTTTCGTATCGATTTCTTTTCATTTTTCTGGTGTCCCTCATATTGATATGTTTTGCTTAGGATATATTAATACAATATCCGAAAGCACTTTAGTTTGTGGATATAATTATGTGGGCTATCATTTCATTATTTTGTTTTTTAATTTTTATTATTAATTTTTATTATTTAATTTTTATTATTATATTTTAATCTTGCTTTTTTTTAATTATTTTTTTCTTTAAAAATGCTATTTCTTTTTTAAAAAAAAACAATGACGATTAAAAAATAAAGTAGTACTCCCTTTCTGCATGGGTGACTAACCAATTACTAAGAGACATTAATTTAAGTGTGTATAAACAGTGTGTATTTAAGAATGAGTATAAAGGCCTGATTTTAAAATATAGTTAACTAAAAAGCAGTGTTGCCAGGTTAGTTAAAACTAAAATTTTCTCTTAAATCCAAACATAGCTGCTTCGTTTTCAGTTACATTTTTACTTTCAACTCTAAAAGTAAATCGTTGATAGCATCATCTTGAGTGTACTCTGACTGCAACATGAGGTTGTATCATCAAAAAGAGCTCTCTGAATAAGAGCCTCAAATATTTTGAATACATTTGAATCTACTTATTTGTTTTGTTAATTTTTTTGTTTTGATATTTTTTTGTGTTCCCTTATTTGACCTTATCAGCATTTGGTGCAAATGTTTGCCCGGTCGCTGGGAGAGGTTTTGATGATCTCCCCTAAAGGTTTTCTGCAATACAAAGTCTATAGAAAAAATTCCCTCCCTCCCTCCCCAAAAGTGGTCGTAAATAGAAGTGGTCTTCCCTGGAGGTTTCACTGTTTACATTTCTCTCTTTTGAAAAAAGGATTATTAAACTTTCTCGATAACTACAAAGATTTAAAAACTTATTTCAAATATCGAAGTCTGATGCACGGGCAAAATTATGAAAACGCTTCTATGTTAATTCCTTTTAAACAAATGCTAAAATAGTTGGATAGGACACTTTTCTTTTTGCAGCAAATGCTTAGAAAGTTTTTACATGGCAAAACTGCAGGCACAAATTGAAAGATCGTGCTCAAAGTTTTAAAAAATTATGTTATTTTTTATTCATGCATAATTTAATCGACCAAAATGAGAAGAGGAAGTTATTAACTACATTTAATATTGAAGATTAAGAAACCATTCTCCGGGATTGCAATATTTTTATTAGAATGTTTTTCGAATTAAAGTGGCATTGGAAAAGGAAAGAAGTTTTTCATTTTTGTCGATCCGAATTTTGCACGGGTAAAAATGACATCATTTCTGAAAACTTCAAGTTGTGTCAAAAGTTTTGCCTCTGAAATCTAAAACTTCTAAACAATAGTTTTTTTTTTCTTCACAAACCTTGCTAATTTCAAGAATGCCATTGGCGACTAAAAATGTAAGAAGTAGCAGAAACTCCCTTAACCTGTATATATATATTTCTTAATTCAATCGTAACTACCACCGTGACATTCATTGCAAATTATTCATATTTAAATCGAAAACTTTCTTTGTGTTCAATGTCAATAGTAAACTAGAAAATAAATATTCTTGGAATAGTTGCTAATTGAAATCTCGTTTATTAGGTTTTTGCTTTTTACTAATCACCACATTTTACATTTTTAGCCCGCTTTTGGCATTCCTGTAATCACTTAAGAGATAAAATCTCCATAAGAGAAATATTTCGCCACAATGTATTCAATTGGTATTCTTATGATGATTATTAAGTGTTATGTTTATTATGCATGTCTCGGTGATTATACATGTTATTATGAAGATTTCGTGTTATATTGATATAGGGTGTTAATAATATTTCTCAACGTTAATAATAATAATTTCTGAAATCCAACAGATGGCGCTCTGCGCAGTAACGTAAAAGGATTAATAGTATCCAGTTTCCTCTATGGCAAAAACAAGGAATGATGTTCATGGTACAGTGCCATAGAGGAAACTGGATACAATTAATCCTTTTACGTTACTGCGCAGAGCGCCATCTGTTGGATTTCAGAAATTATTAATATAGAGAAATATTATTAACATCAGGAATATGTATTATGACATTTTAATTTTGCTATTTTTTCCTTCTTTTAATATTAACTATGTATAACTATGCAGAGACTATCAAGGGAAATGGTACAGGAAGAGTAGTGATTAACGTACCCTACGTCAATTTACGCCCAGACAGCCGTAATTCGTCCTCATCATCTCGAATCGTTCCACACGGTGTCAGATCTTTCAACAAGAACGGACATGTCCGCAACTGGTCATCGCTTAGCCAAACGTCAGCCTCCTCATCTTCGTCTTACAGAGGAATGACCACAATGCCTCCATCACACAGGGCATCCCAGAAGAGTCACCATCCTCAGAAAGTCATCAGGTGGTCGTCAGATGACAGACTACCAAGGCGGCAAAATGGTGGATTCTTCTTGAGCCTGAAAAGACTTAGTATTCAATCACTTACTAAAGCCAAACACAAAACCGGAAAGTAAGAAATCCATCTGCTTCAATGATTCAATATTGCTGACTCTAAACTCCCCCTTAGTGTCGCACTATATCATATAAACTATATCACACTATATCAGTGTCACACTATAGACACTATATCATATATCGCTAGCAATTCAGAAAAAAAACACATGTTATAATCTCACATTTTATTTTTACACATTACCTATAGTTTGTCTAAAGTAAAAACTCCCCTANACGGACATGTCCGCAACTGGTCATCGCTTAGCCAAACGTCAGCGTCATCATCTTCGTCTTACAGAGGAATGACCACAATGCCTCCTTCACACAGGGCATCCCAGAAGAGTCACCATCCTCAGAAAGTCATCAGGTGGTCGTCAGATGACAGACTACCAAGGCGGCAAAATGGTGGATTCTTCTTGAGCCTGAAAAGACTTAGTATTCAATCACTTACTAAAGCCAAACACAAAACCGGAAAGTAAGTAATCCATATACTTCAGTGATTCTATATTTTTGACCCTAAACTCCAACTTAGTGTTACACTATATCGTATAAATATATGCTAGCAGATCAGAAACAAAACACGTGTTATAATTTCACATTTTATTTTTACACATTACCTATAGTTTGTCTAAAGTAAGAACACCCTAGCCATTCTTCTGGACCCGTAACGGTGGTATGGTAACGAGGCATAACTATTTCAAGTAGGTTTCGGTTTGGGTCGTTGAGAGAAAGGGGATCTTTTTCTTCGGTCTATTGTATTAGCCCTAGAGTGAAGAGAAGCTACCCTCCCTGAAATGCGCTAGTCTTGTTTCCATAGCAGCAGAAGGCCTCAGACTTTGTGGTGGGGGGTGTTCTTACCGTAGACAAACGATACTTTTTTGAATGACATCTTTGACCTTAACAATAACAATAATTGGATGTGTTCATATTTTGATTAAAAAAATATTAAACAAATAATATATAGATATTTAAAGAGTAGATTTTAAATAATTTTGATTTATTCAAAATGTGTCATGTCATACTTTTGTTACTCCCTTCATTCTTCCTCTTGTCTCAAAGTGTCACAATTTCACTAAACCTCTTCTTCATCATCAAAAGTGGAATCATTTATAGACGTTTGTGAATCACATTAGGATTAAATTACAAGATAAAATAAAAATGTAAAGACTACATTTTTCAGACTGACTAATAGAAGATAATTTTATTTTGAACAGGGTGCATATCACTTTCGAAAGACGTGGGGTGAATTTTCGGTAGTGATAAAAGATTTATTATTTTTATTTAAATTTATTATTTTTAGTCATCTTGACTACTGATTTGTCTATGCCACAAAGATGCTCAAAATTTAATTGGAGTTTAAATGAAGATCATTATTGCGTGCAATTTTTAAGAAATAATTGATTTTATATTGTCATCGGTCACACATAGGTTCACTAATCGGTCAGTTGCTGTTTGATCAGTCTAGATCACCAAAGTTTTGACTGATCTTTGGTGATGAATTCTGCTTTGAGTGGTCAGAAAATACTTGACATCCTGCTCAGTTTACATTGGCATCCTGTTCAGAGCTCCGGTTAAAATATGTAGCATGATACTTAAATTATCCCTCCCATGTAGCATGATACCTAAATTAAGCGTAAATTTTTGGAAAATTGGTAAAATCAATCCGCTTTATATATAAATTTTACGTAATATTGACGGAATGATATTGCCATTGCGATATTTGGTAAAAAAAAAAACTTCGGTACATTTTACGTAATATGAATGGAATGGATTTTACCAGTAACCCTTTGGTAAGATTGCTTTCGTATATTTTACGAATGATTAACGAAAGAATGCTTGCTATTTAGAACTAGTAAAAATGTTTTTTGGATCACTACTTTTTTGTATAATTTGACGTTTCAATGTGATTTTTAAGTATGATTGACGTAAATAGTATGTAAAACTAACGTATTCATTCTCACTTAGTAAAAAGTGGTAGGTAAAATAGTCGTAACAGAAACGAATTTACTTACCCAAAATTTTACAAAAAATGTTCCATTTTTTTATAACTATTTTTTGCTAATAATTCGACATTTCAACTTTTTTAATGATAATAAATTTTGACGTAAATAAATGTAAAAATAACGTACTCATTCTTACCTAGTAAAAAGTGGTTGGTAAAATATTCGCAAAAAAAGCGAATTTATTTACGTCTAATTTTACGTTTTTTGGATAACCATTTTTTGCTATAATTCGACTTTTCAGTTTTACGTAAATTTTACGAATGCTTAATAAAATTTAACGAAGAAATATAAGTAATTTTGACGCAAAATTGTGGGTTAACAGCTTGATACATTTCTTTTATTTTATGACTACATCTTGGTTGATTAATGAAATCTACTTTTTTCTCTATAATTTTTTAAGTTTTTATCGGTTGTGGTCGCTTTAAATTTCTTTCATCTGCTAAATCTAAGTCAAACACTTATTCAAAACTGAAAACTTTCACGCAGCTTTTCTAGTAAATTGAGTACTTTTTATTCATTTTTGCATTCATAAGTCTAATATAAAATTATTTTGACCATCACTACATTTAAATAAATTAAGCATACCTAAAAGTATATCATATTGCTAACACATATCAAATCAAGTCAACAATGTGTGTTTAAGCTTTTGGAAAATACTAATTATACTTTGAGGAAATAAAAATTTAAATCTTTTTTCTTCATTTATTATCTTTATAATTATTAAATCATAACTACCACTATGACTTTTATTTCAAATCATTCATAATTAAAAGGAAAACATTCCTTGTCCATCAAACAGAGAACCACCTTCTAAGTGTATATAAATTTTTTCTAGGGGTAGTTTTTTTTTTGGTTCTGTAAATTTGATTTAAAGTTACATTCCATAGCACTGTATGTAAATGATTCAAAAGTTTATTTGGAATGCCACTTTGTTCCAGCTCTCACTCATGGTTGAGACTTAGGAAATGATAGCAAAATAACCAAAAATTCCGAAAGTTTAAGTTTTTAATTTTCTGATACTCCTGTGAAATATTTTACGAAAAGTGTTCCAGTTGACAGCTTTGAATGCAGGGGTACATGTATTTATTTATGAGATCCTTACTATGAAAATATTTCAATAAATTTTTTAAACTTAAATTTTTTCATTATCACTGACGTGAAATATCCTCAGTGGTAGACGGATGATGTGTTAGAGTCCCTTTGCCGACAGGCTAACCGTGTGAGGTTCTCGCGGTCTTCCTCTTCATGCAACGCAAATGCGGATTAGTTACTTCAAGAAGTCCTCCAATTAGGCAAATTTTTCCTACTACGTGAACCAAGAGTTCCCTTGTCTTCTGGATTGGGTTCAAAATTTCGAGGCTACGTAGTTGAACATTATTAGTCGTAAACCCAAAAATTGGGTTGGCTGTTCAACGACGGTTATAAAATAAAATGGGTAATTTTCGATACATGTAACCATTTTCATACTTTTTTGAACCCTCTGTAGGTTATTTATAATATCCTGCTTTCTTTTTTTTAGGTTCATTTCTAGTATGAAACTGAAACTAATGGGTGCAAAACGTTCTTCAGCTGATGGTTCAGAAGATTCAGCTTATGATACTTCAGAAGTATGCCTTAGTCCATCTGGTCAACAAGGAGGCTCTTCTTCGCCAACTCGCCAACCCATTCAGAGAAAAACAGCCAAACGCCAACAGTCTTGGAGCTTCCATGATCTGAGAACTGCTGCTGTCGAAAGACCAGTAGCCAGACGCAGTCATAATGTTCGAAGGAAACATCGGAGAAGAAATAGAAAAACTGGTCGAAATTCTTCGTCTTCTGATTCTGGTGTCGAAGCAGCGTACCATTCTGATCACAGTATTCGAAAATCGGGCTCAGATCCAGGACGATTAGCGAGTACTAGTGGTATTACTAGAGTACAAGTTGAACATGGCATGGGTTCTGGTACATTCCAGAGATGGTCCCATACAAATATAAAAGACGAGCTTGGTTACATTCCATAATGTACATTGTAGTCAATTCTTAAAATTCCAATTAAGAATTAAATTTAATTCTGAAGATGGTGATATAGATACATCCCAATATTATACCTTGAAAACAGTTGTAGTCAGTTCTAAATTTAATTCCAGATATGGTCACAAACAAATATGAAAGATATGGACTCAGTTTTGTTTCATAATGTTCCTTGAAAAAAAGTGTATTTAGTCTCAAATTCAATTCTAAAGTTGTTTCCATGCAAATATAATGGATGAGCTTGGTTACATTTTATAATATATCTTGAAAGAAAATCAGGGGTGATTGTGAGCCCAAGTCAAAATTCCGGAAAATTTCTTGAGTTAAAAAAAAAAAGTTGAAAAATTAGAAAAAAATTTAAACAGGTTTTTTTTTCCTTTTTCTCAATATTTCTTAGTTTACTTAAAATATATTAAAATTTTACACATACCTATAATGACCTGAAGAAGTAATTAAAATTTGCAAATATGTCTTTCTTTCTTGAGTTTATGATTATAACAACTATTTACTGATAAAAAATTAATATTAATCATGAATATAAGCTTATAAAGTATCTCTCTGGCTCTCCCTCACAAACAAATAAAACAAACTGTTTTTTTAAGTTCCACCTTTGAAAATTTGATTTCCGGAAACTTCTGTGATCATTGATTTTTTTAAACGTCTGGACCTTCGATCTCCGGAAACTTCCGCATCACTGCTAGCGAAAATTCCGGAAATCCAGATTTTTTCCGGAGCACAATCAGCCCTGGAAAATGCAACAAATTTTATATTTTATGATGTGTCTTGAAAAATTGCTGCAAATTTCAAATAAAAATAAAAATTGTAAATAATATACCTAGCCAACAGAAGCATTAATGATCAATGAGATAGAATTAAAACAAACAGCAATAATGCCAACAGAAGCAGCAATGAATGAATAAGATACGATTATAAAAAATGACAATAATGCCAACAGAGGTACCAATGAATAAATTGGATACGATTGTACAAAATAGTAACGATGCCAACAAAAGCAGCAATGAATCAATAGGATACGGTTATAAAAAATAGCAATAATGCCAACAGGAACAACAATGAAGCAATAGGATACGATTGTAAAAAAAAAGTAACAATGTCAACAGAAATAGCAATGAATCAATAGGATAAGATTATAAAAAGTAGTAAATTAAGCCAAAATACTAAATAGCATGAGGTTATAAGAGAAAAGAGCAATGTATCAAGGTTGGCAATCTATCTATCTCAATCTATCATGTATAGAAACTTTATAGATATTGAAGATACGGCTAAAATATTTATTTTTTGACTATTGACGTGTTCTGAAGTGTGCCATCATTTTTTGCGATAAAACAAACTGTTGTATTGATAATAAATATGGCCAACTACTTTCAATCTTAGCTATTTACTGATGTTAAAGGTACTAGATTTTATTTATTTGCTATTTAAGTATATGTAAGTTAGAGTTTGTATCGTCTGTTGCTATGGTGATATTTTAGAACAAATTTTTTGTGTTAAAATAAAATGTTATGTTTCTTGTTTTTTGTAAAAATGAAGTCAGAACATTTTATTTTAACACAAAAAATTTGTTCTATTATATCACTATAGCAACCGATGATACAAACTCTTTAAATATACTCAAATAACGAATAAATTAAAATCTAGCTTACTACTTACATATACATAAATAGCATATAAATAAAATCTAGTACCCTTAGCGACACGAAAATAGTACAGGAAAAAGCTATATTGTTACAATTTTTAAATATTATATTTTAAATATGAAGGAAGATTTTGTGATATGTTTAGTGAGTTGATTTCGTTATATATATATATTTGACAGAAATAAACAAAAAATTCATTTGTTTACAAAGAACAAGTCACAATTTTTCAAGTATGGTTTCTTATTGTACAGTTTCCTTTTTTAAATATTTGTTGCTTTTTAAAAATGTGAAATGTAGTTTTTTTGAATCATTTGATAATAAAATGTTTTAGTCAAATTGCCAAAACGTCAACATATTTTATAGATTTCAGCAGCTTTTTGAAATAAAGGATTTGTTTAATGTTACGTTTTGCAAAGTTTAATAATCCGAAAGTTTTGAAAGTTTAAATAATAGTTAAATATCACGGAGATCAGTTGAAATTTTTAGTACACAGACTTAAGGTTTTACTAGAAATGTTAATATTACAATAAATGCCCATCCTCTTTCGCGAATTTTTATTTTTTTGGACAATAAGCTGCATGTGTTACGTTACAATGAATTTTTTTTTCGCGAACCAGCGTTAATCTCGGCAAATTTTAGGTGTTACAATGAATATTCGAAAAGGCATCCACTTTTCCATATTCCAATGTTAATTTTACTAGATTTCGGAATAAAAGTTTCAATTGTTACAATTTATGTTCGAAATATTAGCGTGAATACCTGTGTTAATTTTACTAGATCTTGGAAGACAAAATTCAGATCCTCTTTCACGTGTAACAGCGTCAATTTTATCAGATAATAGAAGAAAACTTCTTTTATTAACGAAATGTCGTTTTTTCGTGTTGATGACTATATCAAAATGTTGGCATTTCGTGTTCAAATACAAAATGCCACTTTTGCCGCACTCAAAATCAATTTTACTCTTTTTTGTTTTCGTTGACCACCGCAAAAATTTTGTTTAAGCTTCTCGCACTGTTTTGAAAAACTAATCGCATATTACTTGGCATTTTATTTCACGTGTCTGAAGAGAGTGTATTATTTTTCGTTGGTAGCCTTATTTTTCGTTCTCAATTAAGGAGGTTTATACTTGTAATCCATAAAAATTTTATCATAATAAGTGCAAGATTTACTTTGCTATCTTGAAAAATCCTCTTTCTTAGATCTAAGACTAAGAGGATTTTTCATCCAAAGATCTAAGACTTTCCTTTTTCACTTTTTAGTGATCAACAGCAGCAAACATTTTATTTTGTTTTATAACCGTCGTTGAACAGCCTGCCCAATTTTTTGGGCTTATGACTACTAATGTTCACCGTAGCCTTGTCATTTTGAACCCAAACCGGAAGACAAGGGAACTCCTGGATCAAGTAAGGGCAGAAATTAGTCTTCTTGGAAGTTTTTTTGATAGAAATAAACCGGATTTGCGTTACATAGAGAGGGAAACCACAAAAACCTCCCACGGTTAGCCTAACGGCCAAGCGACTCTAATCCATGATCCGTCTACCACTGAGGATATTTTACGTCAGCACTGTGGTCGGTGCGAGCCGGGTGCGGAATTCGTATCGACCAGCCACCGCTGGGATTCAAACTTGGTTAACCTCATTGGAAGGCAAGCGCACTATCCCCTGAGCCACGTCAGCAAACATTTTATATTTTATTTTATAACCGTCGTTGAACAGCCGACCCACTTTTTGGGTTTACGACTACTAATGTTCAACTCCTTAGCCTTGTGATTTTGAAATTGGGAGAACTTCTGGATCAAGTATTGGGAGAAATTTGCCTTCGTGAAGGACTTTTCTATGGAACTAACCAGCATTTGCTTTACATGAATAGGAAAACAGTCAGCAAACATTCGGATAATCCGAGTTTGAATCACGAAATACAAATTTAAAAAGAAGGAGATGTTGCTTGGAACAATCAAAATAGAAATTAAACACCAGTTCGAAAAAAAAAGCAAGTTTTGTTCGAGAAATCGAAATATTAAGACTACTGACACCTGCAATTTGTGCACAAACTTTGTTTGAAAGGAATGTTTAACTTTCGTGTTTTTTTTAACTGTCTTCAAAAAAAAGTGACATACATTTGATTGGAAGTAATTTGTCGTTTTAGCTGCAGTTATAGGAATTCGTGACTGCCAATTTATATTTTTCCGAAAATAATTTTCCAAAATGGCGGTTAAACAAAAAAAAATATGTCTATAATTTTTAAAAATATAATAATTACAGATATATTATATTTTATTTCTCCAGAGTTTAAACATACTACGCTTCCAATTTAAATTGTTTATTGCTGCTTTTCTGGAGAAAAAAAAGTTTTGAATAGAATTGCTGTAATCTAAAAAAATTTAGTATTTCAGCAGCTTCATAATTGCATTGATTTTCGACGTATTCTTTTTTTTTAAATACTTCCTTTAATAATTTTGCAATATTTTATTCAAAGTTATTTTGAACGTAATATTTTTAATTTATAAAACTTATCAAAAAATAATCAATATAATTACGTTGAATTTAAACATTTCTCAATAAATATTAGCTAAAAATATACAATATAGTTGTTTAGAAAAAGGGAATTTCATATTTTTATGAATTGCTAAAGAAAGATATCATAAAGTGGCACAAATCAGAATGTTTACTATCAAAGATTAAGCAAAGAATAGAAAAATCTGCAAAATCAACAAATTAACAGTAATCCTTCTTACGAAAGGCTTTTGCTACTTTCGATGAAAAAACATTGATTTAAATGCCAATTTAAAACTCATGAGAATAAAAAAAAGCAGTTATTTTCAAAATTTCCTTCCCAAACTGCTTCCCTGCTCTTCAAAAATGCTTCCAAAAAGGAAAAAAAACTTTTTATATACAAATAAAGATTTTTACAATAGATAGGTTACTGTGAATCACAGAAATGGGTGGTTGTTGACTTCCCCCGGTGAATGTTGACAATCACATACTTACTTTGGTAACGGTCTGAAATATATACTAGGTCTAGTTAAGTGCCACTGCCCGGTATGCCCTACATCAATGCTTTTTTTTATGGTTCAGTGCCACTTTCTGGTATACCCTACACTGATGTTTTTTTAAAGTTAAGTGCCACTGCCCGGTATGCCTTTATTCCATAAACTGATGTTTCTTCTAATCTATCCCCAGAAGATATGAAAATATCGAGGAAATATAATTATATCAACGAATAATTTAATATCAATTCTGATACAACAAATATTTCNCAAAAAAAAATATGTCTATAATTTTTAAAAATATAATAATTACAGATATATTATATTTTATTTCTCCAGAGTTTAAACATACTACGCTTCCAATTTAAATTGTTTATTGCTGCTTTTCTGGAGAAAAAAAAGTTTTGAATAGAATTGCTGTAATCTAAAAAAATTTAGTATTTCAACAGCCTCATAATTGCATTGATTTTCGACGTTTTCTTTTTTTTTAAAAAATACTTCTCTTAATAATTTTGCTATATTTTATTAAAAGCTATTTTAAACGTAATATTTTTAATTTATAAAACTTATCAAAAAAATAATAAATATAATTACGTTGAATTTAAACATTTCCCAATAAGTATTAGCTTAAAATATACATTATGGTTGTTTGAAAAAAGGGGGAACTTCACATTTTTATAAATTGCTAACGAAAG